TTTCTTCGTAATCATAGGCTTTTGGACCACCTTCACTGATTCATGCACTTTAGATCTTCTGTGGTTTCTAGGTTGTAGCGAGGACGCTGTTTTTATCCTTTGATAGAATGTATGGGATTTAGCATTATTAAGTTTAAAAGCTTTTGGATACGAGTTGAACTTATAGTCAGGATGTGACCCTCTGACGGGAGCTGTAAATGTTTGACAAGTATGATGGTCGAAGTTATTTTCATCCTCAAATAAGGGTTCTGAAGTTTGATGGTTTTCAAGCAAATTGTTTTGACTAGCTTATACATCGACTGAGATGAATGGCACTTCATGAATACATTTCTGGTCTTTTAGTTGTAAGACTGAACAATATCTAGAATAGCGGTCGGGGATCTCGATGTAAGTGAAGCATAGCAAGTCACATAAACCGACAGCATTAACCGAGCTACTGGTGAGCATTTATTTTCTATTCAGGGACGATTGAACCAGGCTCCGCCAAAATTTATTTTGAGGCAGCGTTTTGTCTATCGGGATCTTAATCCTTTTGAGCTTACTATTTTTCGTGATATAGTCATGACTTTTAGCGTACTCACGCGCAGTCAGTGCATCATTAGATTGAAAGAGCACAGAGCGGCTGTGGCGCCGAACATTTTTTCGCAGTCTCAAACACCTACATTCTGTATTTTGAATATTACACGCTTCGAGCAGGATATTTTGTACCGATGTTATTGGAATTTTATCTGACATGTTGAAGACTACTACACCCTTCAACCATCGAATCCTGCTGAAATTTTCCGCCATCCATGAAAGCAGGAGTGGATTTTAGGTGCTCCGTTAACTAGGTCGACGTATCTTGTGTTAGAGCTGTCATAGGAGCAGTAAGTGGCTCACGTTTATGGAAAATAATTTCATTATTTGTTTCGGCATCTCCTGAATGGGTTGAAAATTCGCAGATGCACTAGCTAAAGAAGCAGCCGGAATATCTAAACAATTTTTTGATGCAGTCGGCTTTCTACTTTCTGTGAACTTGGTAGCAACAGTGACATTATGACAAATTACTAGAACGTGTGCTTCTAGCCGATAGCATAGATTTCTGCTAAGTGTTTTAGATAGTAGATGATACAGGGAGCCTGTTTGTGACTGTCACAATTGACCAGGATAAAGTAGGCAGGAAAACAATGTAAGCAGTTTGCTACCTACGTGAGCTAGTTCCAGTAAGTCATTTATTGGTGGCTGACATACTGTGGGACGAGTAGCGGAGGAGGCGCACCGGTTTAAATGCGCACGCTTATATGCAACCAAGAGTAATTACGGAATATTCAACGATAACGCTTGATGTATGAAACTTGTTAGGTCCAGATATACGTACCTAGGGACAGATATACGAAGTAATGATTTAAGAAAAAATAGAACAATTTATAAATTAGGATTAAAGAAACTTTCCACGGTGTGAATAAGGCTGGTGCACCACTTAAACTTGTCTGGATTGGTCAGAGAGTAGTAGACACAAAAAACCCACCGTTTTGTGAGGTGGAGCCGTCTTATAATAGCTCTCTCATGTCGCACCTGTTAGAATACGGTCACGCGGGCCCGGAAAGCAACTTTAGGACCATTCTTGAGCGATTCTCGCACAGATTCATGAAACATCTTTGATTGCAGCTACTTGTATCCGCCGTCTCATGCATGATTTTTGTGTACGAAGGCAGTTCGTACGCCCCATACTGTGGCCCACGACTGGGTGATCCTCGATTTGTATTCCCATTAAATCCTTGATTGTGAGTGATTTGCCCTATTACTTAATCTACTACTTTCGATGCCCGCGTGATTTACCGACTCCTTCCTGTTGGAATTAAACATTTTACTCAATATTCAGCCCAATTTGGTACATCTCGCAGGTAATATTCTTAATAAAAGCCAGACAACGCGAATTTGTTCAATTGTCTGCATCACCGTGGAGCCAGTTTACTGTACTACTTGTCACACCAATGTGGCTTAAATGGTCTAATTTTCCGATACTCGGGGGAGACGAATCTGGTGCACAACGATTTTAATCCCTCTTTAATGATCATCCAAGCAGACTTCAACCGATGAACCCTTTGGTAACGACCAGTTCATCGCATTTTTTCTCTTTTTTTCTATGTATTGCGGCACAGTAGCTGTGATGTTTCCCACCTCAAGCTAACGTGTGTGATGATGATGATGCTGACCAATCCATCTGGCTTGCGGCTGTGTGAGGCCAATAAAGTCCGCGTCACAGTATTTGAAAGGTGGCTCCAGTGGAGGAGAATACAGCGTCGGCAACTCCATGCTGGCCCTAATTATCGAATGGTTACTCGCTCCCATGGGCTCTAGGACCAGAATGTCGTGCAGACGTTGCTCACAGCTGGTCATTAGCAAGCACGGTGGAGTCGAGCGCGCAGTTATATGCGCCGGCTGCTTGGTGTGTTGTGTGGCCCCTGTTTCAATTATCATCTCTGCGACCTTCCTCTCGACTTCACAATGGCCGGGAAGAAGTTCAGCTTCAGGTCACCGTAGTCTAGGTAAGCTAAATTGGTTATGTGCAAGAAATGCGGACGATTCATATGGTTGCAGACATGCGCCAACCAGTCCAAGCAGCAACTCACTGAACTGCGATAGACCATACTTGCTCACATAGACCATTAACGCTTCGGTAGGTGCTCACAAGTCTCCCAGACAAGGATGACCTTATGTATAGCAGCATACCGCTGTGGTCATTTCCTGGTATATCACAGCGGGAGCGCTAGTAACCGTTGATTTCTGCTTCTTGAGCAGTTTGGTCGGAATTTAGCTATATCTCAGCAATATCTAATACGTCTGGTCGTTGAGCTGTTATGAAGTGGCGCAGGTCCTCACTTTTGTTCAGTAGACTACTAAGGTTAATAAACGTTGCGTGCAGGCCGCGGTAGGAACCGATGGGCGCGTTTGAAACATTAGCAACCTTATGCTGATACCTGATGAATTTTAGATGTGGCTACATAGAGACATCTCTTTTTGATACTTCTATCCAGTATTCCGTTTTCGCTTCGAAGTTACGCTATTGATAGCCTGAGGTAGTCAACTTCATAGCGTGGGATATTTAAGCGTAAAGATGCTGCATTGTGGACGTGTGCGGCAACGTGGTTACTCTATCGTGTAGCCTTTGTTTACTAGGTTATACGATGAAAGTTCTTAGAACGCCAGTTGATAGTAACTGGTGTGTGCCAGTCGATGGACAATTTTAAATGAAGTCCCTCTTCTCGAACTTGACTTTTGTTGGAGCTTTTAGGCTCCCTGGTGTTGGTATTAAATACTATGAAACATTTGGTTGGATACACTTGTGAAACTGACGAAGAGCCCATCCCAACAACGTTGTTGTGCGCTTCCTTATCCCACCGCTTTCCAACTACGATCTTGCCGGTATTACCGGTATATCGATATTATTGTGTTATCTTCGTTGTTTTATCTTTTTACCGTCATCTGATGCAACTGTATTGCGGCACAATGGCTGACGTGTTTCTCCTCACCCCCAGCTAATTGGTAAAATGATGATGAATGATCGTCACCAACCTTTTGCATGCGCAATCGCTCGCACCTACACAGATTCGAAACGTCAGCCTGGGAATTACGAGCCGGGCGCTTGAATCACTCGACCACCTGCTGCTGTTTCCTTGGTTAAGCACTGTCGTCATGACACTGACTTGTTGCCGGCAATGAGAGTGACGTTGTATAGACAAGGCAACTGTCCAGGCGTCCACGGCCGGCTTTTCTCTCCATTTTATGTGCTTAGGTTTCAACCGCATTACAACAAACTAATGAGTACGAATGCTTTGAGAATCTGCAACAATCGTATCACTGCGACGTCAGCGGCACCTGCACCACATTACGTCATAGGTCCGCTCCACGTGGCTTCAGAGGTAACGAGGCTGTCTCGTAGTCTTGCGGCGCGGTTTCGAGCCTGCGTAGGAGCAGGAAGACCCTCGCGGTATCCTTAGCCCACGTGTTGGTTACGCGGAAGCGAAGCGTCGGTACTGCATACCGGCGTCTGCTGATGCCTTTTCACGTCTTGAGCGTTTTCCCTGTACTTTAAGCTCAAGTAATCCTCGTAATCTTCTTGATCAGTCTGTATTCTGGCGTCTCAAATGGGGAGTCGTGCTGCACGGGCTTGCTTCATGAAGAAGGGATGAATCCAGGACATGCGCGGAGCACAAATAGTTTGTTTGTCAGGGAGCTTCCCCATACTTACTCCAATGTGCTAGAGCTGTCGTCTAGCAAAATCAGTTAATAAATCACCCGTTGGCTTAGACGCTTGGAATAATGCCTGAGCACAGCACAAATCCCTGGTCAACTTTTTGCGTCCGCCGTTCTTTCTTATTCGCGTTTCATATTTGTCTTTGCTTACTTGTTTCTTACAATATTACTCCCATTTGCGATCTATCAACCGCTTCCCGTCCCACATATATGCACGGAAAATCTGTTAGTTTTTCAATGTTATTCAATATTACCACAGCCGTACAACGATTGATCGACATTCCCGTCTCCACGCGTCCGCCTTCCGGTGCCAGTTCCATTGTTCATTGTCAGCCGTGACTCTCATTTTGTTACTCACGTCCCCCTTTAAAACAACTGGCAGTATTCGACCAATTGTTATGTAGTGATGCAGACGGCTAGATAGTCCTTACCAGTCAGGATGACGCACCAACACTACCGCCTCCATGAACTTTCTTGACTCTTTGGCTACTGATTGCTATTGATATCATAAGGTAACCAGGGCACCTCGATACTCGAACTGCGTTAGAAAACAGGAATAGCCGGTAATCTGTGATGCACCCCATTAAACACAGAGTTTGTACATTCCGCGCGTTTATGGGAATGTATCGAATGAAACTCACTGTGTTAGAATCCACTGCCTATATTTGTAATTGTTCATATCCATCCGCTTTCACAGAACGTTCCATTTGTAGTTTCCCTTATTTTTCATTTTAACCGATGATTCGGTGTTCTGTCTTATCCAGGTGGAACACATCCGAGGGACAGCTTCAATTGCCGGTCCTAATGAGGTTGTTTTAAAAAGACCAGATGGCAATGAGGAGAAAGTCAAATCAGAAAAAATTCTTATCGCTACCGGTAGCGAAGTGACTCCTTTTCCTGGTATTGAAATTGATGAACGCTCAATTGTCTCGAGTACCGGTGCGTTATCTCTTGCAAAAGTTCCCGATCATTTGCTTGTGATCGGGGCCGGTGTTATTGGAGTTGAGCTGGGATCCGTGTGGAACAGACTCGGTGCCAAAGTGAGTCTGATGTTTTTCATTCACCGTCGCGAGGTTACTTTCGCCTCGCTTTACCTGAGTTTATCCATCTCTCATATTGTGTTACCCAAACTATATTTCATTCGCGAACCAACATAGTGTTGGCCGCTAAAAGATACCAAAATAGAAAGAAGAAGAACGGAAGGTATTAGCAATATGCCGGTACATCTTACCGACGCTTCACTGCCACGCAACCGTCACCAGACATGCGTGGACTAGGGATACTGCGTGAGTCGCCTGGTCTCTCGAACCCGCGACATCCAGGTCGCAAGGCAGATGCCTTTATCTTTCGGCCACGGGCCGGAGAAACATGGGAAAATAAGTAAAGGTATAGACAGAAATAGGCAAACAGATTGACCACTTTGGTTGGTGGAGCCAGTAGCATGTTGATAAGTCCTGCAACGTTGCTTTGAACTTTGAAGGCGCGAGATGCGTGCAGTGTTCTGCGTCAGTATATCCGTGAGCACATGCACAGAGGCAAGTATATTCATAACGCCACCACTTAAAGAAGATCAAAACGACAAGATGCAGATATCGTCTCCGTCAATCTTATGCCACTTGTGGCGCCGGCGTGACATCACTCTCACTGAGGAGCAGAGTTTACAATCCAGACGTCCGTTCAACTCTTCTGTACGGTTTTCAAAACCTGGACCATCAAGTCGACAGACTTGAAGTGGCTTGTTGCGTTCGACCGTCGCTGCCTTCGCAGCATAGCTCATGTTTAGTGGGAACACCGCGTGAGCAATGAGCGTGTTCAGCGCCACTTATTTGGTGCAGGAAGAGCGAGTGGACCGCTCAACATCATAATATCATGCACCATGCTCCGTCGGATAGGCCACGTGTCGCGCATGCCAGCACACCGACTCCCGGATTGTGTGTTGTTTGCGCGTCCGGGGTCTGGATGGAAGAAGTGGGGAGGCCAAGCGGTGACTTGGTCAAGAGGAATGTACTCTCTCACTTCGAAGTTGGCGTCGGTTGGTGTCCCCCGACTGACTGGCTGTGGTCCGGAGGGCCATGAACACGTTTGGTTGGATACACTAGTTGCAATGGCAAGGAGCCGACCTTACTGGCATTTGTGTTGTGAGTCTCTTTAGTTTCCCCCACCAAAGATCTGAAACCCTATGTATAATGTCATATTTGAAATAAATGAGAATATGCGTAGCTCGGGGTGTGGATGCGGATTTTGGGCGGTTCTCCGAGCTGACTGATTATTGTGCAGACGTTTCGTTGCCTGACTAGGCAACATCATCAGTGCGTTCTGTGGCTTACCTAAAGTACACAAAAGCGGAGTGCCGCTTCGCCCCATCGTGTTGTTACCTGGAGCACCAAATTACAGGCTTGCAAAGGAGCTCTGGAGAAGGCTAAAACACTTAATCGCGCGATCGGAACACTCGATCAACTCGGCAGAACAGTTCCTTGAGAAACTTAAAACCGCAACCATTGAACGAGACGAAATAATGGTCTCTTTCGATGTTACTGCCCTGTTCACTTCAATCGACATTGGCTTGGCGAAACAAACAATGACGCGCCTGCTAGAGGAGCACACGTCGTCTGATACAAACAGTGGACCCGAACCCAAACAGATGATGGAGTTATTGGAATTCTGTCTAACAACACATTTTACTTTCAATGGCCAAATTTACGAACAGATAAGAGGCACACCAATGGGATCGCAGATCTCTGGTCTAATAGCCGAGGCAGTGATGCAGGCGCTGGAAGAAATAGCACTTCCGATCGCGAGACCAAAACTTTGGGTACGATACGTAGACGACACCTTCGTCATCCTCAAACGTTCCAAATTGGAGGAAACACACGAACTAATCCACAGTGTGTTCGATGGCATCCAATTCACCAGGGAGGAGGAGAACAACGAACAGTTACCATTCTTAGACGTTCTTATAAGACGGACTGGTGCTGAACGTATGGAAACAACAGTCTACCGAAAATCTACGCATACGGACCAGAAACTCAACTACTGCAGCAATCATCCGGCAGCCTACAAACGCAGCTGCGTGCAAACCCTTTTCAAACGAGCACAAACCCACTGTAGCACACCGCAGCTGAGACGGGCAGAGGAAGATCATCTCTTCAGCCTGTTCAAGCGGAACTCGTACCCAAAAGGCTTCATTCTACGCTGCCTCGCATCACAAAAGGTTACTCAACACACCTCGACAAATGTACCAGCTGAAAAGAGAACAACACTTCCCTATATCAATGGTATCTCTGAAATGGCAGCGAGGCTTTTATTGCCTTTTGGAGTCAAAGTTGCACACCAGCCAACGGAAACCATTCGCAGCAAACTCTTCAAGGTGAAGGATAAACTTAGCAAAGAAGAAGAAACTGGTGTGATTTATAAGATCTGCTGTCGGAACTGCGACAAGTACTACGTGGGACAGACTGGGAGAACGCTTGGCACAAGGCTACACGAACACAGTCTAGCCATACGTCGCCACGATCAGAACTCCCTGATGTCAGTGCACATGGATGCTGAGAACCATCAATTCGACATAGAGCATACCAGTATCCTCGGAAGGGCTAAAAGCCGGCAAGCACGTGAGTTCATTGGAGCCTGGCATTCGAAGCAGAACTCGATCAATAAGCACTTGAACATTGAAGTCGCTTACGCTACATCAGTTGTTAGACAATCTACTGCATATGGTGCTATGCATGTTTCTCGGTTATGCAAAACGCTGTTCCTACAACAGGACCAGAACGTCAGTACATTTATGATCATAGTGAGTTATGTACTCCGTAGTGTACATGTTCTACACTCAGCTACCCTCCCTCTTGCGGTCTGTGCCGAGGAGTGACCGACTATTTCTACTGGGTGCTTTCAACGCGCGCGTTGGGCATGATGCATCCGTGTGGACAGATGTCATCTGTCCGCATGGCATTGGTTCAGCGAATGCGAACAGTGACAGGCTGCTCTCACTGTGTGCCACTCACGGCCTGACGATCACGAACACTCGGTTTGCATTGAGTACGAGTGATATAGCAACTTGGACGCACCCACCGAGTGGTCACGCTCAGCTGTTCGACTATGTCATCGTACGTCAGCGTGACATGCGTGGAGTGCGCATGACACGTGTACTGCGTGGAGCTGAGTGTGGCACCGATCACAAATTGGTGCGCACCAAACTGTACAAATATTTTCGTAAATCGATGTATTGCACTCCCGCCGTGAATCGGCGTAAATTTAACATTCTCTCCCTCGGTACTGTGGCGAAACGTACTGAGCTGGAGAAGGCGATGGCTGCACGCCTGTGTGATGTGGACTGCGTAGCCACAGTGGGCGACCTGTGGCACCACATTCGCGACCAGGTGACAGATGCTGCCGAGGAGACCATCGGGCGCGCAAACTGTAAGCGGCCTGATTGGTTTGATGACAACAATGTGACGATTGGCGCATTGGTGTCAGAGAAGAGTGCAGCATTTGATGCACACGTGGCAGACCCCAGTGACTTGGGGAAGAGTAGTCAGTTTCGCAAACTTCGACGGCGACTGACCCGAGAGCTCTGTCGCATTAAAAATGCATGGTGGACGGAGAAGGCGAAGCAGATGGAATGCTACGCCGAACACCGCCAACATCAGGAATTCTTTGACTCCTCGAAGGTGGTGTATGGACCGAGGTTGGAGCCCCTAATGACGCTGATCGATGGTAGTTCAGCCGATACCTACAAACAGACTGCAGACATAATGCAGATCTGGAAAAACACTTCAACTGTCTCTTGAGCAACCGTTCAGAGATCGACTGGCCTACTTTGAATGGCCGGAAGCAGAACCACTTGAAGGAGCGTCTGGCGGACACGCCGACACTGGATGAGACACAGAGAGCACTTGCTCAGCTGTGAAACGACAAGTGTGCCGGAATCCCGCCTGAAATATTGAAACACCGCGGACCCGCGTTAATGACTGCGCTGCACCACTTGGTGCAACGCGTATGGATTGAGGAAGAGGTGCCTGCTGACATGAAGGGTGCCCTTGTGCTACCACTGTACAAGAGCAAAGGGAGCAAGCAATGTTGCACGGATTATCATGGCATCAACTTGCTGAGTTGTGTGGGCAAGGTGATTGCCCGAATTCTGCTCAACCGCCTCGTCAGTCAGGTTGTGGAACATAACGTGGCGGAAGAGCAATGTGGATTCCGTTCGGGTCGCAGCACTATAGATATGGTGTTTGCGGCTCGTCAGTTACAAAAGAAGTCTAGAGAACGACACCAGCTGTTGTACTCGCTTTTCGTTGATTTCACCAAGGCATTTGATACGGTGAACCGCGAGGCATTGTGGCTGGCGTTGGGTAAGTTTGGTTGTCCGCGTAAATTTGTAAGTTTAATTGAATGTCCGCACAGTGGTATGCGAGCGAGGGTGCATCTGAGTGGAGAGACCTCGGATGACTTTGCAGTTGTCTCTGGTGTGAAGCAAGGCTGTGTCTTAGCTCCTGTCCTGTTTAATATTTATCTTCATGCCATGATGTATTGTCTTAGTGCTTACGGTGTTCATGTGGAGCACTGTATTGATGGTGGGTTGCTTAACATCCGTCGTTTCGGGACGAGAACCCTAGTCTGTGAGAGAACTATCCGTATGTGCCGCTTGCTGACGGCTGTGCGTTGTTTGCACACAGCGCGGACGAGTTGCAACACATGACGAGTGCTCTGGCTTCGACAGCGGCCGAATTCGGGCTCACCATCAACACAACCAAAAGTGTGTCTCTTCCAGCCTTCACCGGAGGTGCAATCCACAATAATGCCGCGAAGCAGCCTTGGTGATGACGCATTGAAAACCACCTCCCGCTTCTGCTACCTTTGAAGTGTGGCATCGAGTGACCAGCAGCTACACAGTGAACTTCGTATCCGCGTCTCGAAGGCCGCGGCGGCACTCGGAATCCAGAGTACCGAGTGTTGAACAACCATCAGCTTACCGTTGGTACGAAGCTGATGGTGTACAAATCCATGGTGCTGTACATTCTTCTATACGGAAGCGAAGCGTGGACGATGTACCGTAGAGTTGTGAGCTATCTAGAGCGATTCCATCAACAGTATTTGTGACGGATTTTGCGCATCGGTTTGTACGACAGGGTTGTAGACACGGAAGTGTTGCTCCGAAGTGGAATGTATGCAGTGAACTGCATACTTTTGCTGCGACACCTGAGGTGGCTCGGTCATGTGTGGTGTATGGATTCGCCGCGGATATCGAAGCTGCTATTATTATGGTCAGCTGAGTCTTTGGAAGTGGCATGTGGGGAAACCGCAGCTTCGTTACCAGGACATTATCAAAGTAAGTCTCTCACATTCTAATCTTGAATACAGGTCATGGGAATCGAAGGCGGTTGATGGGTGTTCATGATGCGATCTGATCACGAAGGCCGTTGCCGAGGTGCAAGAGAAAGTCTTCGTGCATGCAGAGAAGAAGCAGTAATTGTGGAAGTGACAGCACCGATGGGTTGTACTCCATCGACATCGAGCGCATGGTGCTGTAGCACTAGTGGTCGCGAGTGCCTGTGTCAGGCAGGCCTAGTGAGCCAGGAGCGAGGCCACTCGGGGCCAACACCTAAACGACGACTAGGCCTGCTGAGAGCGTAAGCAGAACCGGCGCAGCGTTTGTAGGTAGGCTGCATCCGATTTACTAACTGCGTGCTTGTATTCTGAGTCTCTATTTCAAGTGGTGGGTTTGCTATATTGTCCTAATGCTTTTTCTCTCATATAATTGTCTGTCTGAACTGTTTTCTATAAACTTGCACTCGTTCTTTAAACTACTTGCGTTAACTTCGGTAACATTTTCACATTGGTGACATTTTCTTAAAGTAAATTATCTGACGTCTTGAACTTGTCGCGGATTTGTTCGTAACCGATTTATTTCATCTGCTCATTTAGTGAAGAGTTATATCACCGTACCTGTGTGCATTATTCGATTTATTTTATTGGTCTCGTCGTTTCAACTGATGGTCTGTGTTTTGATATCCCCGGGGTTTTTGCGTTTGATGTGCATGTTGACAAGATGCCTACCTGTCTATTACCCCCTACCTCGTCCATCTGGCTCCAGGAGACAGTTGGTCGTTGCTGGAGGGGACGGGGTGCACGGTCCTTGTGGTCGTGCTAGGCTCGAAGAGTGGTTCCATACAGTCAGTGTGGAGCGGAATACAGTCCAGTCACCGCCTTGTGTGCACTTGATTCCCCAAATACAGCATGCTTGTGTTTGCCTGTGACGGAGTGTGGGCCGGCTCTGTTGATGAAACGTGGCTCCCATCCGCATGCCTCCCGGTCTTATTCCTTCGGGTTTACACTGGATATGGGGTATGTGGATGGAGCTGTGGGTAGTGCAGCGCAAGTCATCCATGGTCCCTCTGTAGGCGCAGGCGTCCTGTGGCTGGCCACAGTGACAGTCAAATCTGAAACCGGATGCCGCCAACCATATATATATATATATATATGTATATATATATATATATATATATATATATATATATATATATATATATATATATATATATATATATCCCTCATTTGCATAGCAGTCGGTGTTGGGTAGCTACGGAGCACACAACTCTGAACGAAGCTGAGGTTAGATCTGAAATAATTTATCCACTTTTGATGCCACTTTTCCTCTCTGTCTGCTTTCCCAGTGCAACGCCCTTGTGCATTATCATCTGCATGTGGCCAGTATTTTGGTTATTGAACCACTATGTCTAAATTCACAGGTCACTTGCGTCGAGTACTTGGGACACATTGGAGGTTACGGCGTTGACATGGAAGTGTGTAAGAATTTCCAGCGCATCCTGTCCAAGCAAGGCCTTAACTTCATGCTTAACACCAAAGTCGTCTCAGCATCCAGGTCAGGGGACAAAGTCTCAGTCAATGTGGAAGGAGTCAAAGATGGCAAGTCACAAGTAGTGAGTTCTCCCTTCTCTCAACCCTTCATGTACTCTGACCTTTTATTGATACATGAAACCTTTTTCATTATGTCTTAACAGTGTGATGCGCTCATGTACATTGTGTCCACTTTTTCGAGTTGCTGTTGCAGGGCTGAGATGATCCACCACTTGTTCTTATCAACACTGGCGCACTGCCCGATTTTACCCGTTTACTCACCTAATCATCTGCGCTACTTCTGATGGCTCCGTTGCCAAATTGTTCTCTCTACTTGTCAGGAATGCTCGTTTAACCTCTAAAAGCTCCGGCCACATAAAAGTGACGCTACTCTGAGAGTTAGCAACTGCATTGCAGTGTGGCTAGCGCTGATGCAAAGCCTACTATGACTGGACTACCTCAAGTGTGCTGTTGCCCAAGTGCTTGAAAGCAGCCTAGTGAATCGGGAACGAAAGTGTTTGTTGATGCGGTACAACGGATGCAATTACATCCAAGCTCATCGACCTCATCCACATAGTTCCGCAGTACACGCGGTCATATGGTCCTCAGCTGCGCCCGTCATCATCGTGGTTACGAGGTAACCTATCACAAAGAAATGGCGTGTTGGTGCTTGCATGTTTGGGCATCAGGTTAGCTATGCCTATATTATTGAAGACGTGTTGTTACATTTTAAATATCTGTTCCTGCATGATTTTCAAAGTCGTCTAGCCACGCCTGATTCTAACACCAGACGACGCTATCACTTCGTATAATAGGTACCTTATCGTCACCAGAGAGGTTGAATAAACAATCCTCTTGACAGCATGAAAGAGGCGTCCGATCATTCAGAGCTATGGGCTAGCCGATGTCGTGTAGGTTGTGTGGTACGCACAGTTTCGCCAGTTTTGCATCACCGATATGTATGTTGAAGGAGTGTGAGACAGCCGCGGGTCCACTGTGGCTCCCTTTTGTAAGCCTCTTGGTTTTATTTCTTCGAGTTTACACTGGCTTTCATATCGTGGATCGTGCATCATAGCACTCTCCCTCTGGGTGCCGGCGTACTGTATCATTAACAGTGAGGCGAATCTGGAATGTAATGCCACCAATCATTCGACTGATACCTGGTTACTCCTCTCAAACGACATCAAAGGGCTCATTCATGCATTCGTACTACACGTTAGGTGGGGATGGGAAATACGTCACCTGCGATGCCGAAAAACGATATAACAAGGTATTCGAAAAAACGAAAAGAAGTACAAAATGTAAATAGAAGCAAGCAATGTTACGCTATTTTTCATCATATATGAACAGCGAGATGATGGTTAGAGAGGGAGGCTAGACGAAACGGGAAAGAATAAAAGAACTCACAACACAAATGACATTAAACGCTCGCTCCTAACCATCTTAAAAAGTGGATACAATCAAGGCCTTCGTCATGTTCCAAACTCCAATTAGGAAGTCGTGAATTTCTAACGGAGACCGAACCTAGAATTGAGAGCCTTCATTCCACCTGACCAAGCCATCCAATGGCCTCACTTCTTCCACGCAGACAATGTTCGCGCAAACGCCCGCCGCGTGAATCGATGTGCAGGCATGCGTAACACGTGCCCAGTCATCGGAGCCTAGTGTATAAATTAACGGTACTGAGCGGTTCGCATCTTCCTGTGCCATAAACAAGACGTCGAACACGCTCATCGCTCACGCGATGTTCCCACCAGATATGAGTCAAACTGCGAAGGCACCGGTGATCGAACGCCACTGATCTATTTATGTCTGTCGATCTGATGGGTCATGTTCTACCTATGTACATGAAGGTTGAACGGACGGATGAATTATTAACTCTAACTTTCACTTCAATGGGAATCGCGGTCCACTTTGAGATTGCGCGTCGCAATCCATCCACACAGCGTGTACTTCAAATTGACTTTCCAATCTGTCATTAACCGTTGTGCCAAGCATTGCCCTTCGTGACCCAGTTGCTTAGGGGTAGCGGTCAAAACGAACATCCCAATGGTCTCGGGTTCGATGCCTGCTATCTCTATCTGATGAGAGGAAATAACCTCGAAACGCGTCATGGAGTGCAGTGGTTTCAGGCGGGCAACAGCCAATTTGCTGCTGCTTCATCAGCTACGGTCCTAGTGATCGAATGGCCAAGGTTCACTTCAATGGGAATCGCGGTCCATTTTGAGATTGCGCGTCGCAATCCATCCACACAACGTGTACTTCAAATTGACTTTCCAATCTATTAACTCTAACCTTCAGAGAGAGTGTGTGTGTGAGAGAGAGATGTCGCGCCGACGCCATCATTGATGAAGGTTAGCGAAAGCGCCTCGGACTTTTGCTATACCATTCGTGATTTCGTCTTCTATTTCACAGGCGCTGATATAGCTGACTAGGTAATTGAATTTCCGAACAAACTCTAGCTGATCGCCGACAAGCTTCAGTTCTAGAAGTGCGCTCTGCTATATTAGAGTAATGCTTGACATTTTGAGAGGGTAAAGCAAAGCTCAAAACTACCAACAGTGTTTATTTGTCCATTGCTGCTTCTCACGTTCGTGAGCGGTCACAGATTAGGGCAACCTAGTTGGTATACTCTAAGTCAATCTGGAAGCAGCTCCACACCTTTTAAATCGTGTCCAGTGAATGTAGTTCCCATAACTTGGTCGATGACGAAGTTACGAAATAAGGGTGACAGCGAACATCCCTGTCTCACAACACTGGAGATACTGAAGCGCGGCGACAGCTCACCATAAGCCTTTACTCTGCCCGAAGTACCCGCGTAAACCGTGTTGATGTTTGGTTAATCTCGGACAGTCCTTTCCTTCGGGCACACTCCCAAACAGCAGGGCGATCCACCGAATCGAAGGCGCCACTGATGTCGAGGAAGTTAAATAGGTTGCGCAGAGACCTAATTTCCAGGTTGGTAATCAGATTTACCACATGAAGACAATTGCTGTCAATACGGTCTGACGAACATGCGACCATTGACTTTCAACTGTGCTCCGTGAGCGCTTACTAAACATGAATGCCGGCGTATTTTGCTATGCAGTTAGAGCACTTTACTTCGCCAGTTGTCGATGCGTTCAAAGTGTCGTCGCGATTGTCCGCCGAAACGCGCTCGTAGATCAGCACCTATTTGTGATTGGTCGGAGTCCAATGTTGTGCTCCAAATCGAGCGGCAGTTTTGGACGCAACTCCTTCAGCGGTAACTGGATGCGAGGTGGTCGATTTGCGTCCATGACCAATCCGAGGCTGTGAGCACCATGTCACCCTTCTGCGGTTCCTGGGTCGGACGCTTGTGCTCGCGGTAAATCGATAAGCATTAACACAGTTGTAGCAACCTCTCAGCGCTATCATTATGAGTGCCCACACCGTGTTGGCTACCCGGATGCAGGTCAACAGTGGAGGTTTCTAACTTGGACGTTCATATCGCCAGCCAATACCACAACGTCTGAACTTGTAATGTGATGAGGATCCCGTTCAGTTAGTGATAGAAGTCATCTTGCAGCGAGTCAGCGCCACAGTTTTTCAGGGGGCATAGGAAGCAGTGGATAAACAGGCGCCGATTGGTCTTGAGAGACCTCGAAGCTTTGAACGAGCCAGCCAGTCTAACGGCGCAAATCCAGCCACTGAATGTGATCGCGTTGCAGCGCGGTTTCAGTCTGGGAGATCAAAGTACTACTTACACCGACCAGACCGGTATTCGAAGCTGAATTATCCCCGGATAGACGCAGAGATAAAGCACCATCAATGTCACATGAAGGCGATGGTAGAGTGAGCACAGCGCCTGGGTGTCTCAGGCGAATTTCCGATAATTAAGATATCGATCGAGAGGGTCAGGTGTTCAAGCAAGTGCTGTCTATTGACCCATCCGTAGTAAAGTGCATACGTTGAGGAATGCCAGCCTTAGTAAGGATCGAAGGTTTCCAATAGAAACTGAAGAACTGAGTTCGTTCGTTTGGTTGTATATTAACCTCTGGACAAGGCATGAGTGACGCTCCGCGATGCGGGTGTGTATGTTGAATATAGAAAACAAACGATTATCAAAGCAAGGTAGTGGATGGCCAGGAATTTTGCAGTGGGTGTCTGGAAACGGGGGCAATACAAGTTATGTCTGAAGTGCTCGTTAAGGTGGAGAAAGTGTACGAAAGCGAATAAGTAGGCTATAGATCCTGGGCTGTGGTATTCCACTCTTCACCACCTTAACCGATGCACCAGATATGACGCCGTTGCTTATGCTCTGCGATGGCACCGAGAAATTGTTTGAAAAGAAGTCCATTGTGTTACGTGGTCGGGTTACTGTCAGCTTGCCTGGGCCTTTACTATGGAACGATTGGGGTTCTCAACCCAAGCTTTTGTTCAAAACTTGACAGCAAGGCACCGGGGTTTTGGCACTTCACTACAGAGCGTAAGGAGCCACTCTCACCACAACCCCAATCTGGAGGACCGTTCGACTGAGTTAGTCTGGCCCCTGACTATTGGCCATTCTGGTAAAATCGGTTTTGAAGGCGCGAAATCCGCCACTCCGCATAGCCCATTATATCGTTCGGCACGCAAACTACTGCACCATGTTAATGTACAGTCTCCTCTCGTTGGTATCAAATGTGGTCCATCAAATGACTGCGTTCGTATGAAGGAAATTTTGCTAGTGTCTGATGAGATGTACGGGTGAGTAATCCTGATGTCTCTTCGTTTGTATTTGGTGTTAGGTTCGCAGTGGACCATATAATCCACTTACATCGCCCTTGTTAACTTTATGACTGTTTTCGTATGCCTGCTCATTGGTTCTATCTGCGTACCGTAGTTTTCAAGGAAGAATATAGCTAAGCGGAGTCCTAACTTACTTGGGTGATGGCATGGTCGATATGTATGGGCACATTGTTCCGTTTTACTCAGTCAGCGCATGTCGTTTTGATTTGTGGTCACGGAACCCATCACACCAGTTATTGTGACAACGTCTCACGCTACGGATCGCGAGAACAACTTTGTTCTAATACTCATCCTGTGCCAGCCATTAGTGCGCAATTCTATAGCCCCAGTGCGT